TCTCTCTCTCTCTCTCTCTCTCTCTCTCTCTCTCTCTCTCTCTCTCTCTCTCTCTCACAGCCATTATATACAGTATAGTGAAAATTGAGTTTTATTTTTGATAGATGTTCGATAACTATCTTTAATCTTATAACTTTTGTAATATACTTGTGAAAAATATCCACCGTACAGCACGTTTGTAAACAACTATAATCACGAGACACGGTAGTGTCTCGCGCCAAGTGTAAGCGAAGCTAGTTATCTACTACATCATTGCATTCATACTTCATTGCTTTTATACACACGCGCACGTACAGCTTTGTTATCAAAAATTTATTAATAAACTTATGATTACCGAATGTTTTAGTCCTGTCGTTGGTAGTTATGTGGGGATACACCACATGGATCTTCACACCGGAAATTCTCGACATTATATCGCCTATGAACGAATCTCGCCCGCGGGTGCAACCCGTTAATACTAACATCTTTGGCGAGCGATACTTTTATCTGATGCGAACCCATACGTGTCTTGCGATTACCATTGTACCTGTGGTTTATGTCGCCGGTTTCGTTGTATTTCTAACACTCGTGCAACACGCTTGCGGAATGTGCAAGTTGCTGGGGTAAGGAATTATTCCTAGCGTCATTTAATATTATTTGCAAAACAACGTCTCTTACAATTGGTTTACTTGAAAGCAGAGCATCTATCAACCCTCGACTGTTGTATCACGTCTCATTTGTTATTTAAAACAAATAGTATTCCTCTCATGTCTTTATATTTGTGTTTTGTTAATTCTTTTCTACATTTTTTTTCATACGAATAATAAACAGTTATTTCATCTTTTTCTTTGCTCATTGCGCAAATATCATTAGATCCAAAACTAATTGCATGATAACAATAATTGGCGATAATTTCGGCAGGTATCGCGCGGAACGCTTATTTTGTGTTATCGAAGACAAGGCAACACGTGATTTAATGATAATACATAAGTCACAAATAAATTACAGAAACATAGCCGCTTTTGTACGGCAGCATTACAACCTTATACAGTTCGTATTTTTATTTAATTTACTCGATATCTAATGTGTAAGCATTAATATTGTTCACAAGTAATATACATAACAAAGCAGATTAACATTGTGCTTTGTAAGGAAAATTTAAGGGTAACAATGATGATAACTAAACAGTTATCTCAGAAAATATACAGATAATGTGATAGATAAATCGGAAATTGTAGACTTTCATAGATATTTCTCA